GTGCTGCCGAAATTTTCTGATTTTCTCTTACTTAGTCTTTTCGGCACACTTCGACCCCATGGGGGTAACGAAATGCTGCCAAAATTTTTGAAAAATCAGATAACCCATTTCTCTCCACCTCCTCACACATTTATTCATTTATTTATTTATTTATTATTTCTTTACTTATTTTCTGAAATTTCTTTTTATTATTTGCGGTATCTCTAGTGTGCTCACCTTGGTCTCTCCTTTTCCCTTGGCACATTCTTGACCCCGTGGGGGGTAGGGAAATGCTGCCGAAAATTTTTAAAAATATATATATATATATATATATATAAATAAATAAATAAATAAATATTGTTTTCCCTTTCCATCCTTTTATTTATTTCTTTAATTAATTTTATTATTTATTTATTTCCTTTTTTTTTTTTCTTTTTTTTTTTCTCTCGACATCTCGCTGCTTATTTATTTTTCTCCCGCCTTCCCCCCCCCTATGCTTGTTCTTTACTTTCTTGATTAGGTCACCGGTACCCTACCCTAACCACTTAAACCTCGGTTAGGGTTTTCCTTAGGGTTTTTGTAGGGTTTAGGGTTCCTCAAAACCCCCCTACTTCCTCGTCCTCTTCGGGCACCCTGGACCCGAACCACCCCTCCCCCTATGACGACGCCCGTGCTAGCCTTGCTAGCGCCGTTCGCCGCTTTCTACCGCGGACATCCCCCTACGCCCTCCACTCACGCGGACCTCTTCTGGCCCCCTCCAGTCCGGTCCGTCATCTTCCCATGGCCGACGGTGCGTCACACGCCGCCGACACGGCGATGACCACGGCATCGGGCTACACACCCGTGCCGGCGGACCAGGGCCATCAGCCCCAGGGGGATCTACACACCCTCCTCACCTCCCTCCTTGCGCCCATCCAGGCGCAACTCGCGACCCTTGCGCCCATCTAGGCGCAACTCGCGGCCCTCACGCCCTTACAGGCGCAGGTGGTGACCCTTGCCGCCGGCATGCAGTAACTCCAGGACGCTGCGTGTCCGTCATCTCCTGGCTCCCAGTCCGGGTTCCCCGTCCTCCGACAGGGTATCCACGGCGGAGCTTCCTCCTCCGTTGCCCCTGACCCGGCCATCTTGGTGACTGTCCACGCCCCTAGCACAACGGCCGCCACGAGCCAGGCCACCCCTTAGTCTACGGGCGCACCAGCCCAGATTCCGGTCACTACGGCCACGGTACAACAACCCGCTACCATGGTCTCAGCTTTTTCGGGTGCCCCGCTTCTCCCTCCCCTTCGCACGACTGCAGCGCCACCTGGCTCTCCCCCCTCGGGGATGCCCCGCGCCGCTTGTGTATCCACCCCCTCCACTCTTCCTCCCGCCATCCCTCGATCGACCTACGTTCGAGGTCTCGCGCACGAGATTGCCCAGCTCCGGGCCGACCTCACCCTTTTACGACTTCAGCCACCCCCACCCTCAGAGGTGGCCGCGCCTTCGGGCGCACCCCYTACCTCCTCTACCCTTCCTCCCATGCAGGATCGCTTTCCGCGCCCTGCACCCTATACAACTCCTTCCTACCTTCTTCCTACCCCCGCGGTTGCTGCGACCTCTTCTACTGCAGCACCCTCGCAACCTGCCGCTGTTGCCATCGTCGCTCCCCCATGCGGCCCGGACACACAGTTGGCTGCGCCCCTTTCCCCAGGACCTGCGCCGACTTACTCAGCCGTGGCATAGGCCTCCGCTTCTCGATCCCCTCGCCGCCAAAACGGTGGCGCACCACTCATCCGCTTGTCGGACATCGCCTTGTATGACGGTACAGGCATACGCGTGTCTCGGTGGCTGCAGTCTGCCACCCGCACACTCCAGCTCATGGGTGCCACACCCGAGACGTGTGTGGGTCACCTCTCCACGCGCCTGCGTGGCGGTCCTTTCGAGGCCTGGGAGGATTTCTATGCCTACTCCCTTCGTGAGGGTCGGACTCCGACCTTCGTGGATTTCTAGGCGTTCCTCGAGGATCGTTTCGGAGCCCGATACGACGTGATTGACGCCTTCGAGCCTGTTGTGACTACACGCTGGTCCGGCTCTGGTGGCGCTGCCGGCCTGGATCGCCACATCCAGGTCTTTCAGGATGCCCGCCTCATTTGCGACGTGGCGTTCCTCCCCGAGGCTGCCCTTATCGATCGTTTCTTGGCCAGCCTTCCGCTCGAGTACCGCTCCGAGCTATGGCGGTACGAGTTCACATTGGCCCCACAGGCTTACGAGGCCGCCAGGGACCACCAGCGGATGCAAGCCCGTCTTCACCCCGCCTCCTCCTCCCAGCCCCAGCGCACGGGTTACGCCTCCTCCTCCTCTCACGGCACATCCCAGCGCCGTTCCCCTTTCCGCGGTCGCCCCCGCCGTTCCACGCAGCAGGACCGCCACTTCTCGCGCCGCTTCAGCGCGTTGGAGTATGGTGAGCAGGACGCTGTTGCCCCACTGTCACCTCAGGGCGACCACAGCGACGACCTCGATCTCTGCGAGGCCGTCCACTATCACTTTGAGGACTCTACCCTCCCTGCAGCTGAGCGCCTTCAGCTCCCGCTCTCCGCCCTCTCTCGGGCACGCAGCCACCCCGGTCACGCTGGCTCGTCGCCCCCTGAGGTCCCTCAGGAGGACCTCCCTCAAGGCTTCGTCCCTCCTCACGGTGTCCTTTCCGCTGAGGAGCGCGCGGCTACTCTGGTCCGACGTGGGTATTTGCGCTGCCGCTTGGACGGTCATACCTCCTCGCGGTGCCCTTACACTACCGCCCTCGACCGCCACTACGCTGACCTTTCTCGTCAGCGTCGTGCTCARTCCCCCCCCGGCGCCTCACGTCCCCGCGGCGCCTCCTAGCCACGGTGCAGTGTACACCTGCGCCCTCCTCAGTATTGGGCTTCCCGACATCTCCATCGCGGTTCGCTCCTCTCGCTACTGGAGTTGAGGTATCGCAGGACTCGACAGAGTGTACTCATCCCTCTGTCGCAGTACCGTTTGCGCCTCCGCCGACCACCGTCCCCCCTCCTTCCCCGCCGCGACTACCGACGCGTCGAGCCATTTGCTCAGCCCGTTGCAACGAGCAGCTTGCTACTCGCGAGGACGTTGTGTCCTCTCTTCTGGACTTGAGCATGCTCCAGGCTCGTCAGGAGCGACTCACCTTCCATGTCGCTGCACTGCGTCGCCTTCTCGCCATCCTCTCTGACCCTGATCGCACCCTCCCGATCATCCCCGTACGACTCGGGACCTCCACGAGGGTGTACTMAGCGCTGTGGGATTCCGGTTCTCAGGGCGACTTCATTCACCCATGCGTGGTGAAGGGAGCCCGCTTACCCACGACAGGGTCTCCGACTCCCATCTCCGTTACCCTAGGGGATGACAAGACCCAGTGCTTCTTCGATCAGACGGTCACCGACCTCCCCTTCTTCCTCACTCTCGAGCCGACTGAKCGTTCCCCGGCGTCTCGTCGCCACTGCTCCTCCGCACATTTCGATGTGATGGAGACGCGGTACGACTTCATTCTCGGCACTCCGTGGTCTCGTCGGTTCCGCAGCACCGAGGCCGATTGGGCGACCAACACTCTCGTTCTCAAAACGAAGTGTGGACAGACGTATCGCGTACCTTTTATAGGTACCACGGCGATACCACACCCTGATCCTCCTCCCCCGGAGCCTTCAGTGCCCACACCACCCCCCTCTATCACTGTCACCTCGCCTCGGCAGTTCGCTCACTTCATTCAACAGGATGACGTCACCTTCTTTATGGTGGACGTGACGGATCTCTTACACTATGATCCACCCTGTCCCAACGCCGAGCTCATCCCTCTGGAGCCAGATCCTCCCTCTATCTCCATGGCTCCCATCTCTACTTCCGTCCCTCCGCCGTCCGTCGAGTCCACCCCGCCGTCGGGCGCTGACACTGACGCTGAGGAACTCGCACGATATACGGCTGACCTGGAGCCCGCAGTTCGTGACCTCATCCGAGAGTACCACGACGTTTTCCCATCGTCGTTCTTGTACGCCGGCATCCCACCGATGCGTGACGTCGAGCACTCCATTCAGCTTGTGCCTGGCTATCGTGTTCACCACCAGGCACCCTACAGACTCTCAATTCCCGAGGCCACCGAAATCAAGCGTCAGCTTGAGGAGCTCCTGAGACTGGGTTTCATTAAACCCAGCAACTCCCCGTGGGGTGCACCCGTCCTCTTTGCTCGCAAAGCGGATGGAACTCTCCGTCTCTGCATCGACTATCGCGGTCTCAACCGCTACACGGTTAAGAACAGCTACCCCATGCCTCGTTCCGATGAGCTGTTCGACCGCCTAGCAGGCAACCGCTTCTTTACGAAAATTGATCTTCGTAGCGGTTACCATCAAATCCGCGTCGCTGCAGCCGACCAACCGAAGACAGCGTTCCGATCGCGCTTCGGCCACTACGAGTTTACGGTGATGCCATTCGGCCTCACCAATGCACCCGCCACTAGTAACTTCATCTGGGGATACGATAGGTATAACACACATTGTAAATATTACAATTAACAGGTGAGCATGAAGGATAAAAAAAAAATAAGTCTGATGAGTGTACAAGTAGTAGGAACTTAATAGGGGTTTAAAGATATCTATAAGTAAGAGAAAATATAATCAACGAAATCAATAGTGGAAGGCATAAATCGTACACTACTGCGGGTTATTCACTGTAAGGAATATAGAGTTTTTTGTTTTTATTTAGAATGAGTCGTGAGTTGTCTTTCCCTCACGATTGAGAACATGTAACTCATAGGAATTTTTTTTTTGCTTATTTTGTGTTGTACGTTATTCCAAGAATTGCTACATATGTTGCAAAGTTGCTCGCTCATGTCCTTTGGTACTCTTATAGGTTTAAAACCCTAATAATCCTGCTTCAACTTCTTCCTAAGTTCCAAAAAACTCTAAGTACAAAAAATTGATTGAGTGGGGTCTTAAATGCTCGACAAAGATTGAGTCGATATTTTTCAAGGGTTGAAAAGTGTTGGCATGTACATGGTAACCGGCGTTTGGGACGGGCCGAACGCCCGAATGTATGGGACCCCTTTGGGATGCGTTCGGCCGTTCGGGCCGAAAGCGGACCCCCCCCCCCTATAAAAAAAAAAAAAAAAACTCGAACAAATTTGAAAAAATGATATGTTATGAAGAAAAATAAATTAAACAAGATTTGTCTGAGCATTACATCCAAATTCCTTACCAAATTGGAAATAAAAATAAAATACGAAAACCAAATACTAATAATAAAAATAAAAAATATATATAAAAAGAATTAAATTTGGTGAGTGCGCTGGTACATTTTCGACACCGCTATCTCACTTGGTTAGCGATGCACTTAGGAGATCAACGCCCTAAGGGACGGAATTCAGATATCGTGGTAGATCTGACAGGAACACTTCGGCTTCTGTCGGATGGTCTGTCCGAGGCGTCACGAGATATACGGTGATGAATGTATCCCCGTATTCGTTACTTGTTCATCCTCATGGCTGTGTTCGTGGACAAATTTTATTGCCACAGTACATCACTATGCAGACTGACATGGAGGAGATCGTACCAACCAATGAATTGGGGTGCAACGGATGTCGGAGGCACCAAAACACTCATGACTAACACACATGTGCTCGCCTGAACAAGTTTTATCCCCAATCCTTAGGCTTGGACCCCACTGGCCGGCGGCGTGGAAACGTTTTGGCGAGGAAGTGTTTTTCAGACCCCACAGGTGTTGGAAACCGTCGTGGAAAGTCGGCCCGGAAAGGAATTTCAGACCCCACTGCGGTTGGAAAGAGGTCGTGGAAAAGTTGACGGGGCGTTTCTACTCAGCTCGCGGTCTTGAAATTTTGGCAACGAGTTTCCAAACAGTTTCCAAGGACGGCTCCAGACGAGTGGGGGCGGGGGCATGGAAAACAGTTTCCAGAATCGGGCTGGACATCGTGGCGTTTTGTCGACACTTCATTGGATGCGCAAGCAGACCATGGACCACAGCCCCCGCCGGGCTTGCCTTTTTGGGAAACACCCCGGTGCAATTTCCTATTTGGGATGCCCAAACTTTTCCAATGCCGAAACTATCGGTCTGCGGTGGGGTCCCAATGAAGCGAGGAAAAATGTTTCCAACCATGGTCGGGCATTTTTTTGGCCAAAACTTTTCCGCGCCGCCGGCCAGTGGGGTCCAAGCCTTAACTTTTTTGTTTTCGCCCTTGACTTCCGCCTACATTTGGGTAATAAATCCAATCCTCTGTGTTTTTTGCCTTTTTTTTTTTTTTTCTTAAATTCTTTCATTTGAGGCTATACAGGTGACTTCCGCTAACCATACTGATAAAACCCACAACCTCTTGAATGTGACTTAAGTACCTAACCAAATGAGCTAGGCTTCCTTGTGTTAGCTGGGCCCCCATCAGCCGGCAGAACCCTGCACCCTAAGCCACTAGGGCAAGGGGCAAACATGTAATTACCTCCGTCCACCAAGAAAGGTAACCTCCTTTCACCAAACACCGGTAGAGAGCTATGCTTGCAGGGGGGGGCGTGTATACCCTTGCGAGTAGTGGTAGGTAGGTAGCAGAAGATGAAAAAAAACATGTACCATGATAAGGTAATAAAAGATGGAAAAAAAAAAGCGGTAACTTCGGCGCAGTTACGAAAATAGTTTGAAATTGCACTTCAGGCAATCCCGCGAACACAACACACCCCCACGTGACCCCACCTGTCTCGAATCGTTGGTTACATACATTCAGCATTTCTGCCCTTTTGCCTCAAGTGCAATTTCAAACTCAAACCCTGACTCCGCCGTAGTTTTCTCAAAAAAAAAATACCATTAGAAGGTAATAAAAGATGAAAAGATCCAGCGGCCTAACTCACTTGGTTAGCGATGCAAGTGACATTCAGGAGGTTGTGGATTCGAGCCCCGTAACCGCCTGCGGCGCACTTAGTGCCAACCAGCTGTGATAGTTCGCTTGATATCTCTGATCGGTATAAGTAGGGTCTTTGGCCAACACGGGTGTGAGTGTGAGTGTAAGTGGGTTGAGTGTGGTGTGTGGGAGAGTGTTGGCCTTAGACACTGCTACTACTTGATGGGGGGTGGGAGACAATGAAAAGGAAGGCGCAGGTACTGGCAAAATGCTCGGTCTTTGCGTTAGTCGGACTGCCACCGGTGACTCCAACACGACACCCTCAACCACTAGGGCAAGGGGCAACAAGTAATATCCCCTTCACAGTGAGAGGTATTTATGCTTGCAGGGGTCCCCTCTACATAGCCCTTAGGAGTAGGTAGGTAGTGAAAGGCAAAATGAATTTGCGAGAAGAGTATTAGTGTATATATGTGCCATGACATCGCAACTACCTGTCATCCCCCAATAGAATAGAACTTACGGTCATTATAGTTGTATTTGGGGAGGTCATTGTAACGGTATTTTGGTGACTTTTATGTCTAGGTACGGCGATGACGACGACCGTCCTCTTTTCTTTTTTGAAAAAAACCAGTTTGTATTATGGGCCAGTGCCCAAGGGAGTACATAGCCCAAAAATAACTCAGCTGCGCAGCAAATATGACCCTAATTTCTATGCAGGGGAGAACGGGTAGTCGCACGGATCCTTTTTTTTTTTT